GCTATGTTTGGGATGTGGTTTGTCCCAGCCAAAACTAATGCTGAAGTTTGGTCACAAGGAGAACTGTATCAAAGGGTGGTGGGACCTTCAGGAGAGGACCCTGATGGGAGTGACTGAGTCATGTCTGCCCTTGGGAAGGAATTCCTGCGGCCTCTCAGAGGAGTTCAGGCCTCACAGGAGTGCATTCATTCTCAGGAGAGTAAGAGAGCAAGCAGGCTTTTATCAAAGAAGAATCCAGCCCTTCCCACTCTTGCTTCCTTTTCCACCATGTGATTTCTCACTCTCTCGGTGCTCTTGCCGTGTGATGCCATCTGCCATGTGTAACACAGCCAATGCATCCTCTTAGACACTGGCACCTTGCTCTTTGGACTTTACAGCCACAAAATCATTGCTACATAAACCTTACATCTTTATACATTACTGAGCATCAGGCCTTCTGTTACAGCAACACAAAATGGACTAAGACAGTCACCCACGCCTAAGAACATCCTCTTCTCCCCTAAAATGGTACCTGTCTAGGACCATCTCCCCCCACTGAAAATGAAACCTGTTAATGTTCCAAATTTGCTCAGTGGAGCCCAAATGATCAAAAATCTCACAAGCATGAGTTACTGTGGAAAGATGAAAGCTCTCGTGAATACCTTGATCTCTTTTATCTACTCAACCTTTCACATCCACAGCAGAGAGATGACAACAAAAGACAGGGACATTCTCTTAGTCTATTAGTGTCGGGACCTCCAGGATACTGAGGGGCCACAGAGCTGGGACCAAATCTCACACAGAAAAATAACCTTACGTTTCTCCATTACTGAAACCTGAAATCCATGTATCAGCCCTTTTAATATTTATTTTAAATATAGCAAAACTGGCAAATTTATATTTAACTAATTGGTAAATATTTTAAACTTTAAAATTTTTTCATATTTTATCCCCTAACTTAAAATAATCTGAATTAAAACAAACTAATCCACAGCACGTATATTAAACAAAAAAAGTTATACACATATATATGCGTACATACACACATACGTAATAGGTTTTTTCCTATTTTTTATTTTTCACAAATACCTCCATGTAGTTCCCCTAAAGTGTAATTTTAAAATGCCAGGCTTCCTTTCAAAATCATCTCCTGACCCTACTGGATAAGCGTCGATATATTCAGGGTTACCTATGCAATATCCTTTCTCTGACTCACTGTTCACTGATTAGCAGTGTACCACCAAAACTCTTTGCAGATCTCAAGCTTATAATAACAGTGATATTTCAACTGTAAACTATGCACAAAGTAGGTTTGTAAGAAATTAGCCTTTCTATAACCATTGGTACTGATATAAGTAAATATATTATAAAATACATTTTTAAAAAGCATAGTTTTATCACTTTCAGAATTTGGAGGTCTGCAGAATTTGCTTGGTAATGCTTTGGGAAAAATAATTTAATAAGTAAGAGTAATTTGTTATTTGTTCATCAAATGTTTACCAGCTGTTTTTTAAATAATTCTTTTGTCATGTAGTCCAAAATTTAATTTTCCTGGAAAGCCATTTTATATATTTTAAATTGACAAGTCAAAATTGAATATATTTATGGTATACAACATGATACTTTGATATACAGTCATGTGCTCCATAAAAGTGGGCCACAGATGCAGTTGTGGCCATGTAAGACTATGTCATCTAGTGACATCACTTTCTCGGTTTGTGTAAGTGCACAACAGACTCTCCTATGGATGCGATTCCCAGAATATTCCTCCCTCCCTCAGCTTCATGTAACTGTACACACACACACACACACACACACACACACACACACACACACACAAAGTGAAGTGGCCAAGCCAAGCTATTTATGCATTTCCTCACACACATATCCTTTTATTTGTTTTAAGGAGAGATGGAAAACTAGTTCTATGGGGCTTTTGTTCTGACATTGAAATGATCATTGCTGCTGATTTGGAAACATCTGAATTTCTTGAGTTGTATGTTGTATATAAGAAGTGACAGTCAGAGTGGTCATTTTTGAATGGCTCCCTCTCCTGAGTGACAGTAGCTGTGATTCAATAACCCTCCCTTACCTAGTGAAGTTATCAAATGTGGCAAGCATGTGAACTTTGGAAAAGAACAGCTCCTGAAAGACCTTTGCTTACCAAAGGAATACATCTTTCTGGTCTCTGAAATGTTTAGATATGTTAAGCCAGTAGGACCAAAGGTAAGTCTACAACTTGATGTGTATTTTGAGGGGAGATAATGGTGACCCCTTGCTCTCTACTTATGAACTCAGTCACCCAGAGGGTGTGGGATGGGCCTGCTAAGTAGACCCCTTGCCTGATATGTAATTAGCAATGACTCTTAACAACTTTTATTTTTCCATTTAACATCTGTGGATAGCTCCAGTCTGTTTCCTTTCATCATTAATCTTTCGAGACATTGCACTGCCAACATAAAAGCCATGCATATAAATTCCCGTGCTTCTGCAAATTAAACAAAATGTGCCTTCAGCATGCCTCAAATATACAGACTCTATGCAGTTGATTCCAAACAGCTCTGTCTAAATGTGGCAGAGCTCCCCACAGTGCATGCACTGCACAATACTTTAGGTCAGGGAAATCCCACATCGTGGTATGGCCCTGGCACAGCACAGGAGACAAGGTAACCATTCTGTAAATCTGTGTTGAATGAGGTCCTGCATGGGGGAATTTACCTGATTCCACCTTTTTCTTCTCCAAAAGAGAAAGTTTTTAATCCTCTTCAAGAGGTGTTTCTAAGCAAGTTCAGGTTGACTGTCAGCGGGTCAAGTTCACTCCGACCATGTCTTAGTTCCTCTGTGCAACCGTAGGTGGGGGAAAGCTTTTAGGATCAGAATATCATTATAGCCCCTATGAATGGAATGTGCCACAAATATGCAATGTACACATATTTGTCTACAATAATCTATAAACACAGTTGCTTCAATTGTCAATGAAATGTGCTCCCAGATAAAAGGAGAAGAGGCAGAGATCAGTGACCCCTGAGCTAGGAATGGCAAAGCTGTGTGGTCAGGTGTGGTCCCATAAGGACAAGGCCTGAGTGAAACCAAATGTCCTCTAGGGAGTGAAATAGTGTCAGTGACACCTTTCACTACCGGCCAACAGGCATGGAACCCTTTGAACGTCGTTATCATTTTTCACAGGCTGCTAGCTTTGGTGAACTTCTGGTTGGGCTGATTTTAAACTAAGAGAACAAGAGAACTTCCTCCTCAAAATCCAAGTATATATCTATGGGCGAGTTGCCAATGCCACTCAAAATTCAGATCTGGGGTGAACACCATCCACAGCACATAGGGGTTTGTTAAAAATGCAAATTCTCAGACGTCACACCAGATGGACTGAGGCAGAATCTCAAGGTGGGAGCCAGTAGAGTGAGTTTTCTCTGCCAAGTGCTTCTGACGCACCCAAAAGTGTAAGCATTAATTCATCCACCCTTCCTCCTTTAGTGCCCAGGTCAATTTGGAGACGAGATGGCTAAGTTCCTAATAAACACCAAATTTCCCAGCCTCCCCTGCAGCAGAGGTCAATCATATCTCTGGAAGCAACTGGGAGGGGCTGCCAGGAGAGCAATTTGGGGAGAGAATGGCTTAGACTGGAGGTGCAATTCCTTTGTTCCTTGTCCTTTCTGCCTCCTGCCTGAATATGGGTATGAGGACCAGTGCTTCAACAGCCATCTCCACCTGTGAAGCAGCCCCAGTGATGGAACATGTACACTAAAGATCAGAGTTTGCAGGCAGGAGTGCACTCCCGTAATAAAGTTAGTCTAACCATAGTGGCTGTGGCTGCCCTTCCTTCAGGTTCCCTTCATATGAAAGAGAAATAAACCTTTAAGTTATTATAAATTTATCATAAAAGGGCTTATCTGGGTTTTCAGATACATTCTATCCCACCTAATCCTCACTAAATCCCAATCATTGCATTGCCAGTTAGCACAGATGCTAGGTTGAAAAGCTAGTTGTGGACATAGAAAGCTTTCCCAGGCCCATGGGGAGCCTCACCCACTAAAAAAGGTGAGTCCTCTGACTTCTTCCCTATAAACTTTGTGCAAAACTGATTCCATCTGCAGAAAAATGAGCAAGTGGATCTTTTCCCTTACCTGGTTGGTAAAGAGACTAGCACATTCCTTAAAGAAAATGGAAACTGGAGCAACCACTGTCAGAAGTCCACAGAGACCAGGAAAGTAGTAGGTGTGCTTTGCCCATTGTGAGGCCACTGCCCTTTATGTTATGACATCTAATATCCATCTCACCCACTCACTATAGGTGGAACAAGGCAGGAGGCAGGAACTGCAACCAGATTTTTCACTACTGTAGCCCCAGAGCTTAGGACCAAGACCAGCTCATGGTAGGGGTTCAGTAAGAATTTGTGGAGGGGGCCAGGGATTTAGCTCAATGGTTCTACCACCTGCTTTGCAAGCGCAGTCCCAAGTTCAATCCCCAGTACCCACCCCCCCCAAAAAAAAGAATTTCTGGAGGGAAGGAAAGGATAAAGAAAGGGATGGAGGGAAGGAAGGATAAACAGATGAATAACGATCAGTCGTTCATGTCTACACTGATCGGTCCACTTGTTGTAGTGAATATTCAATCTCTGGTCCCAGAGAATGAAGAGCAAGTGCTGGTCACATCGTCCCACTCCACAAAGACTCAATGGAGGGTTCTGTATGGGCATCAGTGACTTTAGGATGAGTCTGAAAAGAGAAGAGCACTGCCCCTGGCCCCCATACTGCCCTGGTTACATCAGTAACTTCTCCAGGTATGAGGAAATGAGTCCCAGGATTCCTCCCAGTCAGCTCCATCAATTTAGAATACAGCAGAGATCTTACTACCTGAAAATAATTTCTCCAAGTTTGTGGAGATTTGCTTACATTATTTCTATTATTTTTTAATGGACTACCATAAGATATCAGAGGACCCTGGGGATGGAATTATTCATTACATAACCTCAAGCTAATGTGCTACAAACTTCACAAACAGGCAGATCTCTTTCACTAATTATCTTTAATACAAACAAAAGATCAAAAATCAGCATCAGGTGATAACACAATACAGTTGAGATTGTTCCAAGTAACACACTACTCCCAAACTTGGCATCATGAAATACATCATGAATCATGAACAGATTTGCTCAACCAAAGAGCACCTCATCCCTTTAGCCCTCCCTGGATGCCACTGGGAGTTCCTGGATGTAGAACATGAGATGAAAAAGAATGGATGGGCAGGTAAACTATACCTTATCCCCCAGTGGCCTGTCACAGAGACTATTTTTGAAGACACATTCATCTCAGCAGGAGCAAGACCACTGAAGAAGTGGCAGGTAGCAGTGCCAGACAATCCCTCCTGGGGAAGGCTATGCATCACAGCTGCACCCTTCACACAGGCCTGCATGATGGATGAGAGGGGATTGGCCCTTGGTTGGTTAGGTAGTTGGTTGAAGGAGCGATAAAGATAATGATGAAATTCAAGCTTAGAAACCAAAGGGAGTTAACCCAAAAGTCATTCCAGCCACCCCTGCCTCAAAATTCATCAGATTTTAAATTTCCAAGATTCATCTTAACTAGAAATACAGGCTCTGACTGCCTCATAAATTTCTTAAGTGGTAGCTGCTCAATGAATTATATTATCCCATTGAAGAATAATGTTAGGAGGGATGTGGTAATCCCGTATCTACACACTTCTCTTGTATGAGCCTAGCCACTCTATTTCAAATCACAAGAGTAAGGAAAGTATATTACAGCTATATTACAGTCTCTCGTTATTGGCATAGCATTATTTTAGTTAACATCTATAAAACACTGAGATAAACATCAATACACAGTGGTATTTTATATATATACATATACATATACATTAGGGGGAATCAGGGAATCAAATCACAGTTGATGTCTTACTTTCCTGTACAGAAAAAAGTGGGATGAATAAATAGGTGGGGACAAGAGAAGCCAAGTAAACATTTTAATCATTAAAACTGATCTCAAATCGAGGGTGGGAAGGTGTCAGACAATTTTCTGTTTCCCCCGTTCACCTGTTAATCAAGAGAATGACAGAAAAATAGCTCAACTTAAGAATTTCTCCAAGACTGAGAAAACATGTAATGGAGCCATTATTACTCTGTTTCAAAGCTTTGGAGATTTCTGATTTCGGAACGTGCACTGTATAGCTATTGAGAGTGCTGCAAAACAACTCTGCGAAGTAGTTCTTCCAGACTGATGCTCACCTGGCCTGGGGAGGTTCACCTTTTGGGGTGGGAACTCCTAGCTCACTGCCCCTTCCATTGCTAGAAAGTTCAATGGCTAAAAAGTCTCTTTCCCATGGAGTCAAGACTTCAGTCCATTGCTGACCCTTAGCACAGCAGTTCGTCTTAGGCTCCTTGCCCTAACCATTCCCCTGCGGATCTTTCAAACTGGATCTCAGGAAAGAGCTCTCTTAGAATCCAGAAGAAAACTATATCTGACACTCATTATATTCTTTCATTCCCATGCCATCAGGCTGAGTTTCAAAGGCCCTAAACAGGAACACATAGCATAGGTGTCTCGTGGGCCCTGACAGTCACAACAAATGTGCATCATGTTTTACTGCTAAAACAAACAGAAAGAATTCACACCTTGAAGGACCACTAAGCTTCACCATTTTCCCCATGCCCTGTGTCATTTTATTCTCACCTGCAAGAGAGTGCCAGAGGTCAAGGAATGCTCCCGACATTGTTTCTGGGTGAGCATCAAAGTCAAGCACCAGCACTGAGGACCATGAGCTTGACGTTCAGAGTGATCTGTGTAGGAGGGAGAAGAACCACTCTACCTACACAAAGAGAAGTGCCTGGCTTAAGTGAAACGGCTCTCAGTTTGCTAAGTCCCTCCTCTTAATGACAAGTTAAATGGCTGTAAGAAATTGTGCTTGCCTTTCATTTGATTAGACCCATTTTGGGGTCCCAGACACCAAGTTCTCCCAAAATATGGTTAAAATGGCAACAATCTCTGCAGCTGCCATTTGTGAAAGCAAAACCCAAAGGCAGTTACACACAAACTTAGCTTATGGAATACCTAGGCCATTGTGTTTCTTTGAACAGAGCAAAACAAGAATAAATATTTTTAAATGTATCCTCTAGTCATCATGGAAAGCTGAGGACACTAGGAAAGCGTCCATCTCTAGAGACAGGCCTCAAATATTTGGTTTTCTATATCAGAGTATCTTTGATGCTACTGTGCCAATTTTCAAGTGGAAAATATGATAGGTGATATTTTCAAATGCAAAAATATATGTATCCTGTTCTTCAAGCCCAATATTCATGTGATGGCTTCAAACTCCAGGCAAATCAATGTGTTAGGTCACTGGGCCCCTGGGAGCCTTTTGGAGAAGATTGAGCATTTCTCACCCTAAAATTCATTTTGAAAAGCGTAAGAGTCCATGTACTTCACTTAGTGAAATGCACACTCCTTGCTTAGCATGCGCACCCACTAGAGAGTCCTCCCCCTGCCTTGGGCTGGGGAGACTTGAAGCCAAGCACACAGTTCTGGGATTCTAAGGCTGCCTCAGTACACCCTCAAATCAGTCCCCTGAGAAACATATATATTGACAGCTGAAGTGGGTCCTAAACTATGGATCAAAAAATCAACTTCTCCTCCTGTGCTATCCAAGGTCTCCTGGACAGTGAGAGGCAGGAAGTGTGGCTGCATTTAAGTGTCCTGGCCAAGATCCTTTCAATCTCTCCTTCCCCTTTAGGCTGTTCACATCAAGACCTGTTCTCGAGTCTCTGGGAGTCGGAGGGCAATCAGGCCACCCCCAACCAGAGAAGCAGCAGCCAGAAGGATGGGGACCACTTTGGTTATCCCAACAAAAGAAGCAAAGATAGTGTTTCCCAGGATGGCACCAAATTTGCATAATCCATTCAGGATGCCAAAAGCTGTCGCCCTGCAAAAGAAGAGGAAATAACGTTGAATTTCTGGAATTTATCAGAGAAATGAGATTGAGCTCTTTCTTTTTTTGTTGCAAGAACAGAAGGTGTGGGAGGAAATTTTCCCCTAAATGTAAAAGCAACACATTCTCACTGTAGTCAAATTTGGAAATACAGAAAAATATAAAGATGTAAGGACATCTAAAGCAATCATCACTGTTAACATAGGTTATTACCTTCAAAGTTTTTTCTTTATCTTTTCAAATAAATTGTTTCTTAGAATGTTTGTAGGTAGTACTTGCTGATTGTGAAATACCAAAAGAATAATCAAGTATCCAAAATAGAAAGTGTGTTTCCCCTTAATAACAGCTCTTTGTGGCAGAGAAAATTAGTTGTCCTTGCATAGTATTTCTCCAACTGTAAGACTACATTTCCCAGGCTCCCTTGCTGCTGACTATGATCATGTGACAGGTTTGGCCAATAAGGTATAAGTCCAAGTGGCCTCTGCTGAAAAACTTCTTTAAGAGAAGCCATGAATGGGCTTTTGCTCTCTCCTCTTTTATCTTTCTTCCTTCAATCCTGCTTTCTGGAACACAGATGGTGTCATCCTAGACATGACTAAGGGAAGACAACATAGAAAGAGTCTACTGTAGACTTCTACAGAGAGAAAAATGATATGGTACCTTCTGAACGCTATGACTACTTAGAGTTTCTGCATCCATGGCAGAACCTAATCCTAGTTACTAACCTTCAGTCACACTTCTCAGAGATGACTCTTAGAAGCCACTTATCCCATCATGACCTCATCTATATACAGAAACAATATTCCCAACACTACTTCCCCAACTGAAGTAAAATGCCTCTTTTTCATACCAGGTTTATTAAGAATGGGGGTACACTTTTATACCCAAAGTTCTTTCTATATTTCTGGCAATAACCAAACCACACTTACCTTTATAATCATGAGACCTTAATCCTAAACTTTTTGTTTTCAGTATCTTCTTATATATTTTCATATGTGTGCTTTTCCACATAAACTTTAAAACAAATTTTTTAAGTTGCCAGGGGGAAATTTTTCATTGAATTTTGGACATATTCTTGTAAGTTAAACTAAATATAATTTGACATTTTTGTAAGATTGAATTATCCTATCTAAAATTAGGTGTATCTTGACATATATTTGAGTCTTCTTTTACATCTCTTAGTAGAGCTTTATGGTTTTATTTATGTGAATGTTTCAGATATGATTCCTAATATTTTATGATTTCTGCTTTACCAAATGGACTTCAATTACAACTTTCTTATATATCTAAAAACCTATGTTATTAAACCTATGATATATTTTAAAACTTAAATGTTATTACTGTCCACTTCACCAAATTATTTTAGTTTCTAGTTGTCTCTTTACCTCATTCTCTTAAGTTTCCTAGATGTAAAAATCACATAACATTAGGGCTGGGGATTTAGCTCAGTGGCACCGCACCTGCCTCAAAAGTGCAAGGTCTGAGTTCAATCCCCAGTACCAAAAAAAAAAATTACATAACATTCAAATAGTAGTAATTTTCCTCCATATATTGTTTTGTGAAAGTTAACATTTTCTGGTTCAGGGAGAGGAGCTCCAAAAATGTATGTTGCAATCTTCCATAGCTACCCAAATCCCAGTATCAGAATTTCACTTACTCACTATTTTAACCCTTGACATTCCTTTCTGACTTCATGGTCACTTATCTGCTATTTTTAAAATTTACAATTCCCCCACCAAAAGGAGAAATAACTACTTTTAATGACCTCAACCCTATGCCTTTAAAGTAGGCCTTTTCCCAGATGGCTTGTACAGAATAAAAGTTAACCCTAGGCATCCCTGATATGCTTTCTGCAGATGCCCTGATCTTCCTACCTCATCCCCACCTCCCTTCTCCCCCTCTTCTCTAACCTTGTGTTGTTCTAATTCACCATTTTTCCTCCTTTATCTCCCACAGGCAAGCCTATTCTCACCCATCTGTGACTGCCTGGCACAAAAAGATCTGCCAAGTATTCACTCTTATTCCTCTCTCCTGGGCATAACTAGCTCCTGTCTTTTGCTTCTTGCCACCCACTGCATCCTATCACACCCTAGCCCTCTTTGGGGCCTACACCATGCCTCATAGGGGAGAAGCTCAGCAACCTAAGAAATATTTGGTGCAGGGAACACCAGAAAGACAAGATGGCCCTCCGTGGTATAGGATTTAGCCGGCAGGTAGATTTCTGTCCAGAGAAGTCCAGCAGTCCTAGAGGAAGCCCAGGGAAGAACTGACCTCTGGTTGGTGGGATATAGCTCCACTGTGATCACATCCAGAGCATTCCAGGCTGCGATGCTGGTCCCGCAGAACAGGCACTGCCAACCAATCATGGCAGACTCACTGTTGCCAAAAAACAGGAAGAAGCAGCACACTGCCGAGATTAACATGGAACCACCTATGGAGGGAGGTCAAGGGCAAAAAGGAGCATGAAGCCTGTATCCCGGACAAGACTTTCACCACAAGTGGCACCTCATCTCCCATCCTCAGAGGCACACCTGAAAGGACAGATGATCTGAAGAGTCAGGTTCCTCTAGACAGAAAGTGCACAGGTGAACACACCCATGGAATCCCAGAGGGCATTGCGAAACCACCACTCTGTGGCCCTGCCCAGCCCAAAAGAGGGAAAAGGGCAGGTGTGAGTATTTGTTAAGAATCTGTCAGTGCCAGACATTGTTCTAGGTGTTTGAGACACATCAGTATCAATTTAAAACAAACATTCTGGCCTTGAAATCACTATATCAAAGAAGCATCTTCATTCCTGTGTTCACTGATGTACTATTTACAAGAACAGAGATAAACAGTCAACCTAAATACCTACCAACAGATGAATGAGTAAAGAAAATGTGTGCACACATGAGGAAACATTATTCAGCCATTTAAAGAAGAGTAAAATTCTGCCATTTGCCGCCAAATGGAAGAAACTAAAGGACATGTGAAATAAGTCAGGCACAGAAACAAATATTCATAATCCTACTTATATGTAGAATCTAAAGAAATAGAACCCAGAAGTAGAAAATAGAAGAGCGGTTATCCCACGAGCTGGGGGTGGACTGGGGAGATGGTGGTCAAAGGGCACAAGGTTTCAATTAGGAGAAATACATTTCTGAGACCTGGTTATGGTTTGGATCTGAAATGTCCCCCAAAAGCTCAGCTGTTGAAGGCTTGGTCCCCAGCTGATGGCACCATTGGGAAGTGGTGGAAACAAGGTCAATGGGGCGTGTCCTTGAAAGGGACACTGTGATGTGGCCTCTTCCCCTCTCTTGTTCTGCTTCCTGGTCACTATGGACAAGGTTGCTCAAGGTGAGTAACTTTGCTCCACCACACATTCCTTGCCATGACCTTCTGCCTCACCAGAGGATCAAAGCAAGGGGGTCAACTGATAATGGACTGAAACCATGAGCCAAAATAAACATTTCTCCCATTTAAGTTGATTATCTCAAGTATTTTTGTCACAGTAATGAAAAGCCAACTAACACAAACCTATTGTGTGACTATAGTCAATAACAATGCATTGTATATTTCAGAATTTTTGAAAGACTAAGTTTCAAATGTCTCGTCACAAAAAATAATAAGTATGTAAGGTGATAGATATGCTAATTCACTTGACTTACCCATCCCACATTGTATATGTATATCATAACATCATTATCTATCACATAAATACACACAATTACAATTTATCAATTAGAAATAGAAAATACTAAACATTTTAAGGAAACATAAACATAAATTAATAAATAAATAACACACTTAAGACGAAAAAAGCATGCGTGTTCTCATGGAGCTTACCTTGCAGTGAGAACACCTTCCTAGATGGGCTACCCAGGGGCACCCTCAAGAAGGGCTGCTGTCCCCTTCTCCACTTCCCCATCTCCACCCAGAGATCTCTCTGCCCTTTCATCCCCGCTCTGCCCTCTGGGAAGCAGAGCCGTGGCTGTCCTTATACGTTGGGAGGAGAAAGGGGTTGAAGTACTTCTCCCCAACTCCCATCCTCTTTTAGAAGCCCCTTTCTTGCCAAAGGCTGCCTCCCTCCAAGACCACAGCTCCTCCCAGGCAGCTCTTCCTCAATGGCCCCAACCCCCACTGATCTCTGCTCATGTTATTTTCACCCCTTGAGCCTGCAGCCATCAAGGCGGTGATTGAGACCCACATTTGCTAGTGTCTCGCCCACCTCATCTGCTCTCCAAACCCTGTCCATGCCTCTACAGTTACCCCATCAATACAGTCTCTTCACGGGAAGCAACTGCTGTGAATTCTTTCCCCACTAGGACTAGCTGAGTCCTGACAGAGTAATAAGAGATTCTCTCACAGGAAGACTGTGCCAAATTCTGCCCAAACCCAGTAATTCCATCAGGGGAGCTCAGGAAGTCCCAAGTGAGTGTGGAGAGTGACACAATAAGCCACAGACCAGGAGCAGCACAGGAAAGGAGGTGGACCAGAGTCAGCAGGAAGGAAGTCAGGAAGCAGGCCCCAAAGAACCAGCTAGGAAGGTAGGACACAAGTGCCCACCAGGCATCAGGGACATAGGAAAGGAGGAATCCTGGTTCCCAAGAAACTGGAAGGCTGGTCTGGCCTCAACAAGAAATGCCTCCTTGGGGGCACCCCCAGCCTGGATTCATTCTCAGACCAGGGGCTGTAAAAGTAGTACCCTAGCTTGCTGATGAGCTGGGAAATGGTAACTGTAATGGATTCTGCTGACTCTGGGAAGGGGTAGGGCCACAACTAGGTGCCTGGTGACCTCTTTGCAACAACTAGGAAAGAGTTTGAAGGGGAGGAGACAGGCATCTGTGGATCAAAAGTGCCTTGAGAACAGCACCCTGTACCTGCATGCATCCCTCAAAGGAACCAGCAAGGGGCTCAGCTTACAATAAATGCAGGCAAGTGTTTGTTATTCAAAATATCTCCAAATGAATGAAGTAATGCCCAAGGTGACCTAGCTTTGCCTTCAATACCTGTGTGACCTTGAATGAGTCACTTAACCTCTCTCTGCTATCTCACTTTGCCCATCTGTAAAATGTTGATAAAAACAGTACCTAGCTCAAAGGCTTATGGTGAGGATTCAATGTGTTAATATATATAAACTGCTTGGAACACAGCCTGACCCATAATAAGCATTTCATAACGTTAGTTAAATGGAATTTCTAGCTTATGTCTGTCTCTCCCAATAGATCATTTGCTCTTTAAGCACAGGGATATTGACTGGCTCAATTACTGCTGCATTCCCATTGCTTCCCAGCAGAAAATAAATACCACATAAATAAATGTTTATTGAGTGAATAAATGAGTGAGTAACAGCCTCGTTAGGAAAACTTCTACTCTGACACTAATAAGGAATGACTCACATCCAGCCAAGAGCCCAGCAGAGAAACCAAGACAAAGCACTCTAGAGGCTCCTCCAGCAGGGTTGGTCTGAGGGCTGTGGATTAGGCCATTTCAAAGCAGTTCACCACATCCCACAATGACGGTGTGGGGTGGATACTTACTGAGCACCTAGCATTTACTATGCGCTGGCCTACTGGATGCCAGGGTTTTTCCACAGGCTAAGGGTTCAGAGACTGAGAAGAAACCATCCAAGCCCTTGATGATCTTGCAATCTAGCTCAGAAACAAAACAGAGGCAATGATCAGAGAGTGGTGTGCAAAGAATGAGTAAAGAGTAGGTCTGGGTCTCTAGTTCGGGGAGCATGCTTTTACGCAGCGTGACAGAAGTCAACTGTGATCTGGGATGCACCCATGATGACAAGAGAAGCTTCAACAACAAGGAGAAGGATGTCGGCTCTCCCACAGTCCTGCCTGTCCCCCAGATCCTTGTGGGGGTCACACGTTTGTACTCACCCCAACCCTACAGACCATGCCTTCCCCAGATCTTCCTTGGCTATTTCAAGACCATTAAATATGCTGTTAGGCTCTCGACTCAGAAGGCTAGTGCCAAAGTGGCAGAAGTGTCACAAATCTGCACTTTCTCGTTTAGGCAGAGATATTATTTTAAAGATTTTTATGAAATGGAAGTTCACAGAAGTAAAGGAGCTTGTAACTCATGAAGCTAATTTTGACCAAGATGGCTGCCTGACTTACAGCCTATCCTCTGCTGATGGCTTGGGCCTTCCGGCTCACACAGGAAAGTGGCCATCTTTATTGGTTCTAGTCAGTTCAGTACCAAGTACCACATGTAAGCAAGAGTTGTGCTGGGCATAGGCATTACAGAAATCAATAAATCTCCATTCCTTCTCTCAAAGGACTTCAGGACAAACCAGGACACCACTTCTAACAGAGACAGCTCAGTCTGCTGTACCTACAGACTCTCCTTCCTCCCCCACAAGATTAAAGAACCAAAATCACCTGCAATTCACATGCTTACCATTCTGAATACTCATGGTCTTAGTTATAATAATAATACTCAAAATGCGTCAAACGCCAGGAAAAGATTTCCTTCCCACACAGACCTGATTGACTGTCTCTTCTCCAACAAATTGACTGTGATTTATTTTGTTTCCCTTTGAATTTTGCTAGTAGAAAGCTTGGTGCTAATTGTCACAATCAACTACATCTCTAGAGCAGATCCTTAATGACATTTTTGTTAATGTGATCAAGTCTAGAAATGACAAAGAGTCCATCCTCTAAGACTCTTGCCATGGAGCCCCGGTCTTCCCTTAGACATGCTTCCTTTAGGTCAGTCTTACCTGCCAGGTTTCCTCTGCAAGATTTCCTTAAGAAAGAGAAACATTCCGTGGCTTTATTAGCCTGGAAAGCCACTGCCCTAGCCATGGAAGCGGTGGAACACCACTAACACTCACCTATCATCTTGAGCCTTCCAATCCTATCCATGAGCAGGGCAGAAATGATGTTCCCAGGGAGGACAGACAGGCTGCCCAGAAAGCTGACGAGGTAAATCAGGAAGTCATTGTCTTCCTCAAAGTCCATGTGGCAGCCTTCCTTCTGCTCCAGAAAGGTGGTGTTGATGAAGTGACAGTTGATGAACTTATGCTTGTAGAGGTCTGGGGAGAGAAGGAAAGTTTTGGTTCCTATGAGTGGAGAGGACTGGGAGATAGGGCAGAGGTAAGGATGGAGTCACACTCCCTCCACGGGCAAGCTATGACTCACAGTCAAGGTAATATGTGGCCAGGTATGGATAGACAGAGACACTTCCCAAGCACAATGACCTGTTCAAATTACCAAAACAAGGAGAGAGAAAATTAAGATGAATTTGAGGAACATTTTAAAATATATCATCTCTCTGACTGCACAACAGTTTTGTCCATATCAATCAGGTGATAGTAAGAGCCATAGTGGCTGGCCCACTCCCCTGAAGCTACCTGACTTAGAGAAACAGAACCCAAGAGAGTTCGGTCCAGAATGAGTCAGTCTGTACAGAAGCCTGCCCAGACTAAGAAGTTAAGAACTTCCTTAACAATAAAACCCATCTCCACATCTTCTTTTCTATTTTTTTGTTTTTGTTTTTGTTTTTTGAGGTAGAATCTCAGTATGTAGTTCAGACTGGCCTGGAACTCAGTATCTAGCCCAGGCTAGCCTCCACCTCACAGCCATCCTCCTGCCTCAGCCTCCTGAGCTCCTGTGGGCACCTCCACACCTGGCTATTTGCACACCTTCTGACACTAAGACCTGCTATTCTAGAAGACAGAAGGCTAAATAGGAAAACTTGTATTTGGGGATATGGCCCTTTTAAACTTCCCTGAGTCTCTACATATAAAACTGGAGACATATGCATGATTATCCCCATTGCTTCTCCTAGCTCTGACATTTCTCAACTGTAAGTGTTTGCAAAGAATTCTGTGTTAATGGTATGCAAATGAAAAGGCATCCTTAAAATTTGAAAGAAGAAAAGGATGAGCCAGTTTTTAATAACAAGTAGCAAATTTCTGGAGCTTAGTTTTTTTTTAAGTTGAGGCTAAAACAGAAATTGAGGAAGGTAAGTCTTGTGACCCATTATTAAGAGACTGAGGGACATCAGATACCAGGTATTGAATCTTTTGCGGCTGATAAAACAGAAGACAAAGATGCTCTTGTATAAACTACCCCCTGGTACTGAAACGGGAGAGAGCATAAATCTGGATGTAAAGTCAATAGTTCAGTGGAAAAAGCACAGACCCTGGAGCCAAATAATTGAGGAATGGATCCAAACTCCCCCACCTTGCCAGCTGTGGCCTTGAGCAAGTTACTTGAGTCTCAGTTTTCTTAGCTCTAAGGTGAGGATAATAACAGTACATTTCTCAGCTGAGACCGTGTAGGTCAGGCCCCTAGTAAAGCTCAGTCGTTTCCTTACATCCCAACTTTACTCAGCATGTTCTTAACCCATGATGAGAGTAGTAAAAGTAACAAGGCATGGTGGGGTAATGGAATTGTGTGACTATAAGTTACAGAAATCCAAAATAGTATATTCCTAAAATATTCTTAGCATCTTAATTTATGCACAAAATTTGAACAGAGGTAATTTTCTCGTTTCATTTGTTATTGTGAAAACATGAGTTTTCAATGGCATAAACTTCAAACTATGCAAGCTATTCAAGAATGCATTCCATGCACAAAGTGCAGCTCTCCAGGAATGCCGGTTTTTATTTGTGTTGTACTTTGCTCCTACCAAAGACCCTTAGCACACAACCTCGGTCTCATCTAGATGGAATCATCTGGCCAGAACGTTTGTTTCTACTTGATATGTGATGAAACCTGAGACACAGATAAGCTAAATCCCATGGAGAAGGTTGTGCACACACTTAATTTGTGTCTTCCCTAGGGCTAGTACCTGTTTTTCCACACTAATGATTGGCACTGATATCTACAATACTTTCTTCCTCTTGAAGGTAGGACTGAGTATTTTGGATCTTAGACACCAGTCTATCCCTGTTGCCCCCCACCCATCCTATCCATGCTCTTACCTGTGTTATAAAAGATGGTTGACTCGATGGTGCAATTTTTAAAGTAAGTATCAGTAGATGTGACGTCCTCAAAATAGCACTCATCGAAAAAGGTGTCCTCAAAAAGAACATGTTTAAAGTACATCTTTGTGAACCTGTAGGAAAGATGTTAGCCCCTGAGTGATTCATCCCAGAGGAAAGAGACTTGAGACCAAAACAGGAAACACAGAAATGCAAAAACAAGAAGCACCACGTAACAAAATGTACTAGAACATTATTTTCAACTAAGACTAGTTCCCCATTTCTTAACTGTTTATTTATTACTCAGAAAGGGCAATAGGAGTATGGAAAGCAGTTTCTAGTCCAGGCACACATGGGGGAAACTCCGCACCAACTTGGTGGTTCCCAGCACTGGGTCTGTGGACCTCCTACATCAGAATCACAGAAGTGCGAAATCATATGAGAAGAAAATACAGACAACATCTCACTTCCTCAGGAGCTTTAAAAACATATGGATTCCTAGGCTTCTCCTGGGTCTGGAAGCAACAGAATTGTGAAGGCCTAAGAATCTTCACTTTGTAAAGTGCTCCAACATTGATGTTAGAGGAGCACTTTCATTCACCCCAATGTAGAACTTAATCCATGCAAACTCTTTGGGGAACAACTTTGCAAAATTTAAAATGCATATTCCCTTTGACCTAAGAATGCCATCTCTAAGAATTTGTCCTACATGGATTTGCTCATGTATTCAAAGAGACACATTCACTCATCTTCACTACAACATACCTTGTAATAGCAATGCATACATTCATATATGCATACATACATAAGGCAGACAAATACCATAAATGAAATTTCATGCAGCCATTAGAGTAATATACATGTGTTAATATATATTGTTAGGTGAAAAAAATCCAGATGCAATATAAAGTTTATGCATGTGACTGTTCACATGAAAAAGAGCAAGGTACATACAATTCCAAATATATCTGTAGAGTTACACAAGAAACTGGTAGAAGTAGTGTATTCTGGGGAGATGCAATGGAGGTAGGAATGAGATCAACTTCCTTTGCACTTTGTACCAAGTGTCTGCATTACATTGTTGCTTAAAAATTCAGTTAATGAGGGGAGAAGGCAGCTATGGTGTCCTATGAAGTGCAGCCACATTTGGGAGCCACTGGCACTACTCCAAGTCTGCATTAACTTAGAAAGAAAAATATTACACTTAAAATCTATCTCACATACATTAACATCATCCTCTGCTGTTGGTCAAACTTCTAGGCTGGGAGCTTTCGGCTATGACTTCATTTGTGAATGATCACAGCCCACTCATTCATCCATTGATGTAATGGTCTTCAGTAAACACGTGCTGAGTATGCTACGAGGTGCTATGTGTAAGATGGGAAAGCCACCACCCCTGCCCTCCAGTCTGACTGGGAAAATGAAGCTACAATTCAGTGGGAATCACAGGCTTGGAGATGGCACGGCATGCTCAGAGTCACAGTTCCTCTTCAGGGACCTGAGATAATTCTCTCCCTGACCACCTCTCATAGCCAGTGACCAACACCTCTTGTGCCATGTGTTCTGCTCGAGCCTTTACTTAGAATCACCTGTCATTAACTTCTGCAAAAAGACCTCCCCACCCGTAAGAAGGCTAGCAAGCTCTTGTTCAAAGGGAGATCCTGGAATAAACTAGCAGGTCATCCTTACAGGTGCAGTTTCCGAGCACTTGGGAGGCTAAGGCAGGAGGATCACCAGTTCGAAGCCACCCTGAACTACTACGTAAAGACGTAGGTCACTCTGAGCTACACAGCAAGACCCTGTCTCAAAAACAAAATTAAAAAACAACCAAACAAAAAAATGCAAATTGTCTTTACTCCAACCTATACTTCTTGAAGCACAATCACCAAAGCAGACACCAGATTACTGTACTTCCAAAAATTTGAGAATCATTAGTCTAGAAACCAAAGTATTTTGAGTAAACTTTCTTAGGGACAAATTTGCTACAGGTTTGTAAATACAGTAGAAGCTTCCAAAAGCTGCTGTGGATGCTTCTGGTTTCCATTAAAAAACTAATTGGTAAGCCTTTTATTACAGGAAGATGCTTGTGATTTCAAAATTTGCATGCCAGATGTATTTACTCAGGACAGCTATTCCTGGAGATTGTCTCCAGCCTTTGCCTTTCTTAATATATCTTTCTCTCTAATATAATAATAATAGACTGGCAATGTGGCCTTCGGTGGTATTTTAATATTGTTCCAAGGGTGGGTGAGAAAGCAGAGCCATAAATCATAAATGAATCTGATCCAGGCAGACCTTAAAATGTATCTCCAAGTGGGTTATAAAGATCCAGGGTTATAAGGGAAGAGATGAAAGGAGAAAGGGGTAACACATATTTTATGAGTCTTCATATAAATCATCTCCTCCACTCTCTAACTTATATACTAAAGTGGTCCCAGATTCTTCAATCAGGAGAATTCAGAGGATGAAAGAAAAGTTAGCAGACACATACGTATCTTGCAGAACTTTTCCCTTCAGGAAAAGGAAGCTATCGGTGACCCAGGGTCTAGGACAGAATCATTATTACAAATCCTTGATTTCAGTTACCCCCAGACCTAGTTCTTAGTCTGCCAAGTGACCTGAACCACACCAAAGTCACCTTCATCTAGTCATCATGCTCTGGGCTTAATGGTATAACTCTCAAGAAACTTAGTCTAATTAAAGAAATAATAAAGAAAACCAACCATTAAAATGTAGCAAGATGATTACCAGGATGGAGTTATGGCATCCCATCATCTCAAAGGGCACATGTGATGCGTATTCTACAGGACAAGAAAATCTCTCTACAAGGAGAAGGGAAGGCATTCCAGGCCCTGTGTACCAGTTAATTGACTTTTTTTTAAGTACAGAATTCTCTTTCCCAGAAATTACACTACCTTTCAGAGAGAAAATAAGTAAAGGTATGATTCCCCAAATCCCACACCCATACATGCCCCACTGCAATGAGGCCTCCCAGCAGAGTGAACTGAGATGAAGGCCTTCAGAAAAGGGCTTGGACCCCAGTTCTGAGATGTTGACTCACATCAGCTCTGAGCTCAAGCAAAACAAACAAGAGGGTCATTCACTTTAGAAAAGACACGCTTGGGCCTAATTTGTTTAAAGAATGGAGGGAGTAAACTCATTTTCTGGGACGCTGTATCACTTGCTACATTCCCTACAAGTAGGCTTCAGGCCTGTTACCTCAGCTCTGACAGCCCTTCCACAAAATGAAGTGATCAACTTTCAGCTCTTAACCAACAAGTGATCCCAGCAATTTCAGGCAAATCTGCTATCTTCCCTAGGCCTGCATTTAAAAATCCATAAAATAGGGGTACAGGGGAGATGGATTTTTCCAGCTCTATAAACAAAGACTACTTTCACTGTCAATACCCCCAAGGAAGAAATAAATAAGTGGCCTTAGGAAATGGCCATCCTTCCTATATATTTAAGTATCACTTCATGGAGAACCACAGAATGTTCTCCCCTCATGCCAGTGTCAGTCAAATACTGTCTCTAAGGCCACATTCTTGTGCCTCAGTGACTCTGCCAGTAAATCTAACTTCCTCTCTTTCTCTTTTCACTCCGGCTATCCAGGTGTGAAAATCACGATGTTATCTCCTTTGCAAAGATCCTGGCACATTACTGTCTTTTGGAATAAATACTGAAGTAGAATCTAAAGAATAGAACATAAGACAAAAAGGGAAATAATAAAGATAAAAGCAATTACTAAATTAACAATGGAAAATTAGAAGAAATTCATATATAGTTTCATATACATGCTAAATAAAACACTAATTGCTGAAATCTGAAAATGATCCAAAATCCCTTCAATTGATGAATAAATAAAAGGCAGTGGTGCAGTAACAATATGGAAATGGAATACAACTCAACAATAAAAATACACCACTGCTCCCCATGAAGCAGCATAGATAAATCTCAAGCGTATTATGCTACGTAAAAGAAGCAAATTCCAAAGGCTTCATGTGATACAAGTCCCATGATAGGACATCAAGAAGATCACAGGCAGCCAGGCACGGTGGCACACACCTGTAACCCTAGCTCTCTGGGAGGCTGAGGTAAGAGGATGAAATGTTTGAGCCCAGCCTGGGCAACCTAGCAACTCAGCAAGACCCTGTCTCAAATTTTTTAAAAAGTGTCCAGGGAGGTAACCCAGTGTAAAAACCCTGGCTTCAAGCCTCAGTACTACAAAAAAGGAGGAGTAGGAAGAAAAGAAAGAGGAGGAAAAGAAGGAAGAGAAGAGGAAAAGGAAGAGGAAGATGAGAACAAAGGATGGTGGTGGGGAACTGCCAGCCCAGGGTTGGGCCAGAGAAGAAAGGCTACAAAACAGGATGAGGAACTTTGGTGACCAATGGGACTGTTCTGCATCTTGATGCTGGTGATGGTTACATGATTGAATGTATTTTTCAAAACTCACTAAAAAGGGGAAATGTTATTGTCAATTACACCTTGATTTTAAAAAAAGAAGTCCTAACAAATTTCTAAAGTAATCATAGTTACAGCAAAATCCAAACAAAATTCAATTACTGGCTAGTTTGGCTCAACTTCTCCACATTCTATAAAAACCTAGCAAAGAAAGGGAAAACCATTTCTAAGACTCAGATGTCTGACTTGCAACCAAAACTTATAAGACACACAAAAAAGCAAGAATAAAACATGATGTCAGGTTGGGGATGTAGCTCAGTGGTTCCGCTGCCTGCCCCACAAGTGCAAGGACCCAAGTTTGATCCCCAGTACCAAAAAAAAAAAAATGACGTCAAGACATAGTAATTTATAAAATGAACTATGACACAAATACTATCACTATCAGGCAGGGAATTCAATATAATTTTTAGAACAGTTGGGGAATTCCAATAGAGAGATGAAATCTGTAAGAATGAGTCAAATGGAAATGCCAGAAGCCCTTTTAAATACAGTAACAAAGAGTAAGAATGCATTTGATACTCATTGCTAGATTTGTTATGCAAAGAGAAGCAATTACTGAAATTACACATAATTCAAGAGAAATAACCAAAACTGAAACACAAAGAGAAAAAAAAAACAAAACAGGAGGACAGAAAGGAGCGTGTAAGAGCATCTAAGAGCCGCAGGAAAATTTCAAATAGTGTAACATAGATACAAGCCGAATTCAAACGGGAAAAGAGAGAATTTGACAGAAGAAATATTTAAATAGACAATGGCAAAAATTTCCCTAAAGTAATGAGACAGATCAAACCACAAGCCCAAGAAATTCAGAGAACCTGAAGCAGAGTAAATACTAGAAAAAAAGAAGAAAGAGGAGAAAGAGGAGGAGGACAAGGAAAGGGACCAAACATGTGAAATGAAAATAGCTGAATATCAAAGATAAAAGAAGAATATTAAAAGGAGCAGGACAAAATCATATTACATCTGAGAATCTCATGAGAAGGTGTGTAAGCCGGAAGACCCTATACTTGGCACTTCCGCCTCTAGGTATACAGGCCTCAAGATCATCAGCTATCTAATGCCCATCAAAAGAAGAGCAAAAGAATTAGGAAATACGCATGTCATGAAATTTAAATTAGATGAGTTATGAAGCTATGCTAACCAACACAGAAAATCCTCAAAATCCAAATTTTATACAAAAGCAAGTTGCAGAATGCATAGTATATTAATTCATATATACATAACATTATATATATATAACAGAATATAGAATTTATCTGAAATTTGAAACATACAAAGACTACTGTGCCATGTTCACAGAAATATATGTTTAGGAAAAAATACAAAAATGTGCATGAATGTAAAATAACCTTTTCTTTTCTAGCTATAAGTTGTTTGCTTTCTCTCTCTACCCACTCTACTTCTTGCTACCCTGTGGATCTTATTTTAAAGCTAAATCTTGTAAATTGTGTTTTGGTCTGAGCTACTTACCTCCAACTTTTCATACGAACCCAGGAAAGCACTTCTGTCCTTCACTAACAAATCACCTGTGTACACAGTGACACTTCCCCATTGGAGGTTCCGACTCTGAATGCTCAGAACACATCAACTTTCCTTTCAGGTGTGAGGAGACCTGAAGATTAGGACATTACTTCCGGGTCAAGACCCATCACAAACCAGAATTAGGCACATCTCCTGAAGCCCAAAGAGGTCTAAGTCAGAGAGCGCTCTTCCCCCTCACCAGCCTGGCCAAGCAGACTTTTTCCTAGCAGGAGGAGGTAAGTTTATTAATTAGTAGAAACTCTGAGATGAAAGCTGACCCTTCTTTTAATTACTAGTAAGAGAAACCTGGCCTGACATTTGCCTCAGGGTATAAAACATGAACTTACTCTTTTGCCCTTCTGGCACATTTCAAAAATAACTCACAAATTCTGAAACAAAAAGTGTCCGGGAACCCAGAGCCACCAGGTCCCAGAAGAGGCGCCAGGAGGTGGCAGATGAGGTTTTGGGAACAGGTCAAAACCAGTCTGTGCACTTTTGTTCCTTCTTGGGACCAAAGTGATTGTGGTTTACAATGGGGTGGGGTTCCGGTTTCTAGAGGATTTCCTTTATTGACAAATCCTTGAAGCCTAAAGCTCTACTTACACAGACATTCTTCCCCTCCGTGTGTGGCAGTCAATAAAATAAATAATTTTCATCTAACTTGTAAAGCAGGCAAGTGTAGAAGATGTCAAAGGGGAAATACTGACACACAGAAATGCCAAAGGTGGCTAAACAACAGCTGGTTAGTCCAGTTTAACTTCAGGCTTGGGGTTTTCAAAGACGAAGTGTTGCCCATTCATGACCAGCAGATGGCAGGACAATTCAAGAAAAGAAGGAAACTCCAGTTCTTAAATTTCAATCTGCCTCAGCCCAAGGAAAAACCACTCTTTGTTCATTTTACTGGGTGGAAAAATCATGAGCTCCAAATTAGTGTGGTTAAAGTAGACTTTTAGTACCCACTGGTTAAAAACACGTATAACAAAAGTTACAATTAACTCAGTACAACTTTGAAGGAATTCACATTTTAATAATAACGCAAAAACATCCCCATGTATTTGAGACACAGACTGGGGAGCACTGTGCGGGCAGAATATATGCATCTACTCTAAGGTGATCCTGGGGTGCCTACATGTCTCAGGCCCTTGGCAATGACACTGTGGTCCCAGGGCTCCATGAGGTAAGACCGCTGCTCTCATCAGCCCTTGTGTCCCCCCATCCCACCCAGAAGTGTGTTGCCCGCTTGGGGACACTTAGGAAAGGTAAAAGGACAGAGTGGACCAAAAATCCCTACTTCTGCACAACTAAGTCTTAGAAGTCTAAAATACATCTGTTATAAATTACAAGGAGTCTAACACGGTGGTGAACTTTTCCAATGCAGAAAACATCATACAACTCAGGGCCTCCGTGGGCATGGAAAGTCTCCCAGGGAGACAATAGTTGCAGTGAAATATGTGCAGGACATTGTTTGCAGGCATTTCTGTTTCTATTAGCCATGTGACCTTGACCAAGTTACTCAGTCTGCTCCCTGTAAAGTGGCATATCCCTGACTTCTTGTGGTATCTTTGTGGATGACATGGGATAATTTATGTAAGGCTCTTAAAGCAGTGGCTGGCACATGGAAGGGCTGAATAATGCTGGCTTCAGTAGTTATGATTACTGGCATTATGGGCTCGGTCATTACTGTTACTATTTCCCATGTCATAACAGCATGACTGAACATTGGGAACTTCATCAACGGTTTCCTTTACTGAATTCATCTTTGTGGGGACTGGTGTCCCTTAGCTTTTCATCATTTCCAAAACGTTCCGGTAGAGGAAGGGCCGCATTTCTTCCTTGGCATGTCAACGCTCGACCTCCTGACTCTAATACTGAAGAGCTCCAGGGGTGAAACATCTAGGGGCAGCTGCCTTTCGGCACCCCAGCGCTGGAGCTGCCAGCCCTAGTGTAGCCACTTGGGCAGATTACAGGGGCTCTGAGCATCTACTCACAGGACTGTGGCTGTCTGAACAGATGTGTCGGTGTTTGTCACTGAGCTTTGGCACCTTTTTAAGTATCCTGAAAATGTGGACCCCATGTCCAATGATACTTGGTCCTAAATCTTCTTCCTGAAGGTCTCCTATTTGAAGGACTGATAGTCATCCTTGGATTTCATTTTCTGGCCCCCCAAAACAGGGAGCCTGTGCTAAGGTCTGGCCTGTCGGAGCAAGATGGACCAGATGGGAGCGGAGGACTCCCCGACCTTCCTCAGCCATGCATGCCCTTCCCAATGTGGCTGGCCATGAGCAGGAACTTTCCTGAGACACCAGACACCAGTGGAGGGAGCACAATGTGTCCCAGAGTAAATGCAGCTCATGTCCTCCCTGTCCCTCTGTAGTACTGGCCAAGGGCATCGTCAGCATTCTTGAAGCCCAGTGGGCCCGACCACCCAAGTCATTGGTCGAGGACTAGGCAGAGGAAGAATAAAATGGACTGGAATTTTTTTTAATGGAATGGAATGGAATGAAATGGCACAAGTGCCGCCCCACAATGATGTGAGAAGGACTTTTCTAATACCTCACTGATTTTCCCCCACAGGGCAACACCCCTGGCTGACCACAGAACACACTGATCAACCCTGTAAGGTGACAGTAGATGAAAGTATCACGAAAGGTAGCACCAAATAGTCCCAGCATGGAGACGCTCCTTGAGTTAAAGAAAAAGCTCAGCAACTGGGTCACAGATTGTTTCAGGGACCGTAGGAGTAAGAGTTCTGGTCCTTTAATTTCCAGTCACACTGCATGGTCTGTGGTCACTCACATACCTATCACAACCCAACAAGCTTGCCAAGCAGAGTTCACAAAAGTGACAGATCCAGGCATGGTGACACACAGCTGTAATCCCAGTACTCTGGGAGGCTGAGGCAGGAGGATAGCAAGTTTGAGCCCAGCCTGGAAAACAGCAAGTTAGAGAGACTCTGTCTCAAAATTTAAAAAACAAACTTAAAAAGGCCTGGGGATATAGCTCAATGTGAAGGTCTTGGGTTCAATACAAAAAAGAGAGGGAGCCTGCAGAGGGTCCTGTGTGCCACTGAGTGACAGGCACGGCACCCAAACGGAATGCAGCTTTCTGCTCCTTTCCATGAAAGGCTCAAGTTCTCCAGAAAGATGGTCCAACTGATTGTCCTCAGCCAAATGTCACATCCTTGGATGAACAGTCCATAGACTGAAGATTAGGAAGAAGAGGGGGCCGGCACAATACAGAGCAACTCCCTGGGGAACGACTGTGTCACTCGCAGCCAGGACAGACTGTGACCGCGGTAACAGAGCTCACGCCCACCATATTGAATTATTGTCTCTCCCACGGACAGTCCCGGACTGCCACCCTGATCCGAAGGAAGGCCCTGGCCACACACTTACTTGTCATTCACAAGTTTCCCGTGCTGGTGGATCTGATTTTCCATCGTGAAATTGATGGTGGCTCCGTACACGTGCTCATCGAAAAACACCTTCATTTTAGACTTGTATTCTTCATCTTGAAAATACCGGATCATGTCAGGGAACCAAACCGTCAGACCATAATAACTGGAACAGAGGGAGACAGTGTCTGAGCAGCAGCACGGTGACAGATTCCTTCACAGCCAGAGTCTGCACTCCTGGCTTGTTGTGGATCAGATTCTTTAAACATAGTAATTGGGTTTATTATTTTAAAATCTAATAATTTTTCACATTCCTATAGCTAAGAAAAATTGTGAACATCTTCATAGATGCTAAAAAAGCATTCAATTAAAAAAATTCATGCCTGGGCTAGGAGGGTGGCTCAAGGGCAGAACAACTGCTTAGATACAAGAAGCCCTGGGTTCCAGCCTCAGTGCCAAAAAGTAAATCATTACAGTACATTAAAGAATTGCCAACACTTCCTTACCACATATGAAATCCATGTCTCAGCTCAAAATCGGAATCTTAGGGAACAAGGAAACACCAAGGACATTCCCACTAGCATCAGGACCAAGACAAGGATGTCCATTTTCACCATGACTATTTAACCCCATATGGGAGGTCTTAGGCAACTTGGACAAGAGGAAGAAGTGGGAATGTAAACTTGCAAAGCAAGAGACAAAACTATCTCTATTTGCAGGTGATAGAATTTTGGACCTGGAAAACTCAAGATAACCCATTCCAAAAAAAATCAGATATTAAACATATTGAAAAAGATGCTCAGTCCTACTTAAAATCAGGAAAATGTGAATTAAAAACACACCATTCTCTAAGGGCTGGGGATTTAGCTCCGTGGTTCTGCCGCCTGCCTCGCAAGTGCAAGGACCCGAGTTCAATCCCTGGTACCAAAAAAACAAATTAAAAAAACCACACCATTCTCAGCTACCAAATTGTCAAAACCCCTACGTTTGCAGAAACATTCTGTTGGGAAGACTGCAGACTAACAGGTGCTTTCATAAATTGCTAGGAAAAGAACAAAGTCATGGAAGACCATATGGAGAGGAATGTGTCAGGACCTAAAATTATCACTTAATGCATTTATCCCTTTTTACCCTTCAGTTCCACTTCCAAGAATCTATTCCACTGATAAATCAGCCCAAATATAAAGTGGCCCACAAACACAGGGACTCATCGGGGCATTGTTTGCAGTAGCAGAGGTCTGGAAACCTCCCAGGAGACCAGGGAGGAGGCCCTGGGAGCAGAAAATGTGATGCACTGTGAGATGCTAGGCACAGGTACTGTGCTCCTGTAAGAGGAATAAAGAAAACCCCACTCTACTGGTAGGAGGAGACTCTGGACTATATCATCTAGCACAACAGATAAATGTAAAATGTGTTCCTTTAAATAAGAAGAGGAGGAAGATCCAAGAAAGTATATGTGTGTGTGTGTGTGTGTGTGTAATTATTTGGTTACTTTTGCAAAAAGAATCACTGGGATGATAAATAAGAAAATAAAAGATGATTCCATACAGGAGGCAGAAGGGAGTGGGTGGAGGGGGAAAGGATGAATGCACGATTTCTCTGTTGTTTCAACACTGGAAATGTATTACCTATTCCACAAAATGAAAGTAAACATAAATAAACGTAAATAAAACATTTTTCAAACTATCAGTGAGTTGAATCCTAGTGCTGGTTGTATTTGGCTCCTGAAATGTTCTCTGCCAGCTGGGCTTGGATGACTTAAGGGAAGCAAGTTAGCAGCAGGTAGGACACTTCCACCTGCCTGGGTCTAGAAGCCAGATCTCCCTGTGCAGGTCCTGGGGCACAGGAAGGCCTCTCATTGCTCCCTTAACACAGAGGTCATGACAGACCATCTGCTTTCCTGGGGCCAGGGAGAGTGTGTTTTGGACATAGGCAATGGTGAGCAAAGCAATTTCACAGATAGAAGTTTAAAATCTTGCTAATGGTTCCTAGTTGGCAATAGCAATTTATTAAACACTTATTATGTGTCAGAAACTACTGCAAGCATTCTATACACACAGTTAAATGAGCCCTGTGATGCTGTAAACGGGCTCCAAAATTTATGTAGAAAGAAAGATCCTATCGTGTGGAGATTAATGTAGAGGCTAGGGTAGGAATCTGCAGCTCTAGAGAGGAGGAAGCTAATCATACACTGGGTCACATTTTTCTTTTCTTTATTGTAGGGTACAGTATTGCAGAGGCTCATTGTTTTACCTGTCCCATATTCTCAACAGCACAGGTGGTTACCTACATGGCACTCACTCCCAGCTTCCCCCCTGAGAACAGAAACTTTATTCCACTTAGGCGTCAACCTTGAAGAAAGGCACCAGTATCTTCAGCTTGGAGGTAAATCATGATTAGTCTAAAATCACTGGGAAATCCCATCTCATTTGTCCAGGATGAGGTTAGCCCTGGGCTCATGACCCACTTCTGACTACTACTGCAACAGAAAGGAAAGTTGGCTGGAGGGCATCTGAGAAAAGTTCACTTGGTGTTGAAAAGAAAACTCAGTAATTAACAACCGGCTAACAAAAGCAATTAGGCTAAAGATCACCAATCAACAGTTAAAAGTGCTGTACTTTTTACTTAAATTCTGCTAAGAGGGGCCTCCATCTCAGGCTCCTAGGGCAGTGAAGCTCAGCGGGTCCCAGCACCTGGAAGGAAGCTCCCCCGCTGACATCCCAGGCTCCTAGGGCCAAGAAGGTGAGCGGGTCCCAGCACCCGGAAGGAAGCTCCCCTGCTGCCATCCCAAGCTCCTAGGGCACAGAAGGTGAGCCACGTGGCCGCCAGAAGCACCCCACCCCCATCCCGT